GAGAGCAAGGCGAAGGCTGTAGGCAAACTGCCGCTGCCTTCGAAAGCACTTGGCGCCAAGCGTGCTCCTCTGCTTCCCAAGTCAGTGGGAGCGAAGGCTGTTCCTTCAGTGGAGGCGAAGGGTCCTGGAGATGCAGAGGATCCGGGCGTTACAGAGATCAAGGAGGCGGGTTCTGCGGGGAAGCCTAGCGAGGATGAGAGCAAGGCGAAGGCTGTAGGCAAACTGCCGCTGCCTTCGAAAGCACTTGGCGCCAAGGGTCCTCCGCCTCTTCCTAAATCATTGGGGGCGAAGGCTGTTCCTTCAGTGGAGGGGAAGGGTCCTGGAGATGCAGAGGATCCGGACGTTTCAGAGAGCAAGAAGGAGGAGGGTTCTGCGGAGAAGCCTAGCGAGGATGAGAGCAAGGCGAAGGCTGTGGGCAAACTGTCGCCGCCTTTGAAAGCACTTGGCGCCAAGCGTGCTCCTCTGCTTGCTAAGGCACTGGGGGCGAAGGCTGTTCCTTCAGTGGAGGGGAAGGTCCCTGGCGATGCAGAGGAAGCGGACGTTTCAGAGAGCAAGAAGGAGGAGGGTTCTGCGGAGAAGCCTAGCGAGGATGAGGGCAAGGCGAAGGCTGTAGGCAAACTGGCGCTGCTTTCCAAAGCATTTGACCCTAAGCGTGTTCCTCTGCTTCCTAAGTCAGTGGGAGCGAAGGCTGTTCCTTCAGTGGAGGGGAAGGGTCCTGGAGATGAAGAGGAATTAGCGGTTTACGAGAGGATGGAGGAGGGTTCTGCGGAGAAGCCTAGCGAGGGTGAGAGCAAGGCGAAGTCTGTGGGCAGGCTGCCAATGCCTTTGAATGACCTGTGGGAGGGTAGGTGGGATTGGGGGAAATATATGGTCAGGAGTTTCCAGTGTAACCGCAGGTAAAGTGGTGTAGACATTTATTTTCGGCGTGGCTGTGAATAAAGGGGATGTAATATGTATAGTGGGTACGATGCCAGAGCGGTGTAGTCTAGCATGCTTGTTTTCAACGTGTTCTGTGTGCTCTAACGAATTGCTCAGTCGGTCCTCCGTCGATTCCAAATGAGTCACTGAAAGCGGTTGGTTTGCGGGTACTTCGTCGGCTGTCAGATGATTCTTGTGCGTCGGAGGGAGGGTCTATATCGGATGTGGGTAAATCTGTTCTTCAGCTTGGAGGCTCACTCGACTCTGTAGATCTCATGAAGCTGTCAACGGCCTTGCTGCCAAGAGGCATAAGTGTTAAGAGGGCAGAAAGCTTGATCAGCCTAGATGATGCCGTTCCCAAAGAGGAGGCCTCCAAAGCTGAGCCTCTGAAGGCATCAAATTCAGGGGTTGAAATGAATGTGAAGCCAAAACGAATCCCCAGTGTTAAGGCTAGAGAGCCTTCGCTCTCAAAAGGTGCTGGCCTCCCGAAGCCCCCCACTCCCAAACTCATGTCCCAAGAGACATCCATATCTACGGCTAAAGCGAATGTGAAGCCAAGTGCTGAGCCGGTGGCAGCAGCCGCCAAACAGAAGATAGCTAGAGATTGGTCTTTTGCCCCCACTACAGTTGATACTGAACTGCTGATCTTCGAAACGCAGGACTACATCTCGACGGGGAACACGTTTTATAACCTTGGTCCAAAGGCTGTAGTTGAGTCCCTTCCAAGAGTCGATGCATTACCCCAGTCTCAGCAAATTTCAGTTCCAGAAATGGGTACTGTTTCTGGAGCGCTCGTTGGCTTCGACGAGATCAAGGGTTTGTACGACTCTCCCACCGACCTTATACCTTGGGACTGCAGCCTCAAGACCTCGGCCAGCGGTAGCTGCATGCAGATATGCAAGCTTCCACCTGTACAGTATGCCACAGCGCTCAGCGTGTGGAGCGAGCTTCTGCTGCACCAGAAGAGCCAATTCATATCTGTATTAGGAGGCTGTCATCACGGTACGGTTATTCAAGCGACTGTGCTTAGTCAAGATGTTCTTTTAAAAGTGGTTCTGCAGAGACTGTCGATTGGTTACCATTTGACTGGCTGCCTGCTGTGCGTAACTCTGTCTGTCGGGTCGTACAGGCACTGATCGAGCTGTGCCCTCCCTGCTCGCTGGCTTCGGTCTTTTGAGCGGATTCGCCGTGAAGGAGCAAATGCTCTTCATCAACAGCGTGAATCGCATATACGACGTAAGGTTGCTCAGTGCCAGCACAGCGTATGACTCGAATTAATGACCCTTCTGGGAAACTTCCACAGGACTGCTCGCGTACATCTCTCTTTTATTCACAGGTTTTGGCTCAGTGGAGCACCATTGTGTCACCTGACAAGGGAGAGTGGAGCTTGTGCCAGTGGAGGTGGATAATTGGCTTTAACGGCACTGGCCAGGCAAGATGCATCTCTCTCACAGGCTCCGTGATAAGCGAGCCCCCTCCTGCTGATGAAGGTCTTTTAAAGATTGTACTTCTCACAGTACAGAGTAAGTACGACGGTCCTTTGAAGCCCACGGTCCTTTGAAGCCCCGTCTTAGCTTGTTGCCTTTCCTCGGGCCAAATCACTGCCGGCACCCTAGAGAAGTGCTGCTTTAAACTCTTGTAAGCATTTGTTGCAGGCGCTTTGTCTGGCGACTCCACTCCACAAGTACTAGGCCTCCCAGGATTGTCGTCCAATAAAGTCCAAGACTCTCTGCTACACGGCTGCCTCGTACATTTTAAAGAAAGTGAAAGGTCTTCGGAGGGGCTCTTAGCTATAAAAGAAGTGCTACGGACGACGCTCGGCTGCAACATCATGGAGGTATGCGATTACTCTGCTTATATATTTGCATTTGCTCAGCGCCAGCTTCGGTGGTGTGGTGGTTTAGATGTATGGTGCTTTCATGTTGCCTCTGCAGGCTACAAGTATCATCCGTATTTGTTTGGCTTATTGGGTCCTGTGTCGGGGCGCCAATTTACGGTCTGAAGACCTCGACTTCACGGAACAGCTTCTTGGTGCACAGGCAGGGCAAATTCGCATGATATATAAGCAGTGTTCAGGGCAAGACGAGGATTTAGCTCGACAACTCAGAAATGCTTTGTATGAGGGTCTTTTTTACTTCGTGATACAACTCGCCAATAAGGAAGTGCAGGTCAGCGCGAAACGCTCGACTAAGAGGGCTTCAATTGTTTCTGTGCCTGAGTATTTGCGTTTCAATAGCAAACATGCCTCTCCTTTTGTGTTCCTTTTTGGTTGGTCTTGCAGCGTTCCTTCCATCCGCTCATGCCCGTGAAGCCATTTTCTCCTCAGAGTAGAGCTCTAGAGATCATTATTGAAGGTATGCAACTTTCCATCACTTTCCCAAGTTTTGGCCCCCCGCTAGTGTCACTCCTTGGTATAGTATATTAGTTCGAGATATCTCCTGTTGTGATACCTGCAGAGGCACCGTTTTCAAATTCGTCAGATGGACCCCTCTCCTTCGCGGGATTCGCAAGCCAGGCCTTGCAGGTAATTTGTAAGGACCCTAAGTGTACCCGTAGGTGAAGCGCAATTCTACGTTTTCCGGCCTACTAGGATAGCCTACCAGAGTGTTTTTGGGTGGTCTTTCATCTCCAGGCGCTGCATTTAGGTGTTGGATTCCGAGGCATTCACAACCTTCAACGTGTCCTGGATGCCGATGAGGTAAAGTTGCCTGTATATCTTGACTCCATACGACAGAAACCGCACGTTCAGCTGCTGTTGCAGCTTCTCTTTTCAAGACACGGCGGCCTTTTCCCATTTCTTGCTGGTGGACCAAGGAACATGGAAGGTGCGTAAATTGTCTCTGTGGGCTAGCCGTTATGGATCATTCGTAAAGTTGCTCAGTAACCATGACGGCAATCTTTCCACATGCGCTCATTGCAGACTTGGCTGCCTGGATGGAGTTTGCAAGCTCAAAGCCATGCACACAGGAAGTATTGAACGCCTCCCCCGACGGTTCGCTGCTCATTGATTGGCTAGGCCAGTGGTCTCGAACAGATTTGGCAGAGTTGACAAGGGCTTCGTCAACAATCAAGGGACCTACATTTCGTTTAATTGGGAGCCTGCTTCGTTCCGTAAGGAACCACGGGGGAGTTGCTGTGGCGCCTCTTTTAAACGTTATTTCCTGTCCAGTTCAGACGTATTGAGTTCCCCAAAAGATGCTGGCAGAGGAGAGAAGGGTCACAAACTTGTGCTTGTGGTGAGTACTTTGATTCAGGCCTCCGCCACAAGAATGTGCGGGCGCATTACCAACTGTAGTTCTGCAGCTCGAGTGCTCCAAGCCGTTCAGGATTCTCTAGCGATCAACCTGGTGGAGAGACCAGTTCTTGTCGTGCGCTCTTCGGACTATCGTACGTAGACGTTTCACGAATATCCGTAGATGAGCACTGTACGAGAGTGCTTCCTTAGCCTTAAAGTGGTTTAAAGTGGTTTATCGTTGTACGTAAGGGGCAGCTCATTCACGCCAGCTTGCGCAACTGTCGTCTCAGTGGCTCCCCATGAATATATATGAAATTTCTCTAATGCATCTCGGTTTAATTCAGGAGACTCGCACTGTAGGAAGTCCTGAGCATGCATTATGTTTTTACAGGGTTAACGAGTTGGATGTATGAAGAGCTGAGGAAGGTTGAGGATTGGCAAAGGTAAGCAAGACACATTGAGCGCAGCGCATGAAGATGCACTTGTATCCTCTTTTCCCATTGCCAAAGAGTACGGTACAATTCGGCTTTGCCTTATGCTTTTATTCAACTCAGCTTTGGCTTTCCTGTGGTGGCACGTTTGGAGGACCTGCCGAAGTACTGCCCTCGGCTGTTTGGGGAGGCGGCAAGTGGAGAAAAGAACGACATCATCGGCACACTGGCGCAGTACATCGACTTGAAAGACTTCGCCATGGGAAAAACAGTCCTATTCTTTAGGAGTGCAGCATACAACTTGCTTTATGCCTTTGAATTGGCCGCTAAGTCCATAGAAGAGGAGCGCAGAGCAAAACTGCGAATTCTTGAACGCCAACGGGAGGATTTGCAGGCCTGGAAAGCCAAAGTACAGGGCTCAACGGGAAAGGAGGGAGCGCGGCTTCACGAAGTGCTGAAGTCGCCAACATCAGTCAGATTGGCTAGCGGTGATTCTCCAGTTGATCAACGCCATCAGAGCAGGAGCTCTGAAGGCGTGCACTTGAACACCAACAGATCCGGGAGTAGCAGATCTGTTGTAGAAAGTCGCAAGCGCTCAGACTCCTCCAGTGCAGTTACTTCTGCTGAAGATGTAAAGAGCTTTGACGCATCTGCTCGAAAGTGGCAGTCGTGCCCTGTCTCCTTTGAACCCGAAAGTGATCGAAGGGATAAATCCCTTAGGCCTAGTGTGTCACTAGGCGCCCTCCCTTCCTCATCTGAATTTGTGCAGTCTAAAGGGGGGAAAAGCCCTGCAGATCTCTTGCTTATACGCCAGAATCCTGCGCTAAACAACAAGATGGCTTCTTTTGCAAAGGCGAAAGGGGTCGGAAGTACACTCTCTGTGGGGAAAGGAGAAGCACCTCCTGAAACAATTGCAAGCGTCAAAAAGAGTGACCCTGCTGTGTCGGTAGAGCAGCTGCCGCTGTCTGCTGCGGGCAAAAGCAAGCCAGAGACACAACAAAACCTGCTTGAGCAGCCAAAGAAGCCTCCGACTCTAGGTGCCCAAATGCCTCCAAACACCGAAGGCCCGCCAGAGAGTTCTAAGGGAGGAGAGAGCCAGCAACAACTTGAGAACGAAGGGAAGGTTAGCGACAACAAGAACTTTCAAGAACTCGATCACAAGGACGGGGTGGCGCAGAAGGGCTCTGTGCCGCACTTACAGCCCGCCGACGAGTTGCCTCCTGTGGAAGAAAAGCCTTTGGTAACTCTGGGGTCTCGCAGTGGATCCAAAGGAGGCAAAGTCGACAAGGAAACAAGCGAGGCGAATTCAAAAGCTTTAGACAACCCGTTAGGAACAGCAGAGACAACTGGTGAGCAAATAAATAAGAGTAAGACGGGGAGAGGCTTTCGAGAGTAAGGGGGGTGCAGGCGAAGAGTACAAGAAGCCAGAAAGCATGAATGACGACACACAGGGAAACTCAGATGAGAGGAGTGCGGATCTACTGAACAGGACTCAGTCTGTAACTGGAGAGCTTCCAGACAAGCAGAGCAATCGTGCGCAAGTGAATTATTCTGAATGTGGCCCAGGTCACGTTGTGGAAACGAGGGACGCGAGCAAGCGAACTGCCGATAAGGAGGCTGAGGAGCACATCGCGTCGCTAGCTGTTCTCCCTGAGACAAGTACCCAGGAGCAGACGATTCGCGCTCTCTCTCCTTCGCCAGCAAAAGCGGTGGTTACTGATGAACACTCCAGCCAGGAAAGAAAAAGTAAAACAAGTTAGGCCCACCAGATGGCGGCTTGCTTGACGTCAGAACTTAACCATCTTACATCTGGAATTTGATGTCCTGATATATTAGACTGCCTTGCGCCCGTGTGTCTGTGTATATCTCAGCGCCATCACCAGGTGGAATCAGAGCTATGTGGCGCACAAATAAGAAGGACATTGCTTGGCGAGGGCTAGTGGTCATTCCAAAAGAGCACACCGACGAATAAGGTTAATCACAAGTCATGTGTTCCGTTTTCGCTGATCTGCTGGAGCAGGTGGCATCCAAATTTGCTGGTTGAGCTTTTCTAGGAACCAGATAACAATGAGGAGCCTCTGCTGCTCTTAGCTTGGCACCGTGACACGTTATGGCTGGAGCAGTTTCACGTGACAGAAAACCCTTGGACAGTGGTCTGTTGTCTTCACCCCGTGGGGTATGCAGCTCTCTCTCTAATAATTTTTAGACACCGTGATACTTGTATCGAGCTTCATTTGCGCGGAATCTCACCCGATTTGTACCACCCGTGGGCGAAAGTTCAGTGAATCACGTAACTTCTGGGGCATTACTGAGTCGCCGCTGCAGCTCAGCAGCAATGTCACGGTCTAGAGGCGTTTCGAGCCTTCACAAGTACCATTCTTTCTGGTTTCGGCTACAGTCCTATTCATAACTGCTGTGACAATCGCGATACACGCGGCGCTGAGGTGAGGGTTTTGTCGCAGCAAGCAACAATGTGTGTAGCATGCACGGTGCTGTTATGAAATATAGATGAAAGCCTTAACCCACGCATGCGCTTCATGCTTACTTCTATAGTTGGTATCTGCACCCTTGAACGGACCGTTTGAATGAGGTGGAACTGGCATTCCGGATCACCTTGTTGAAATTTCAGCTACACGAAATATCAACAAATTTTTTCTAATATCTCGGGATGGTTTTATCTTCATGGATGTTCAAATTTGCATGTTAAGAGCTCCGAATCCCTGATTTCTGGCAAGCAACCGTGCACAAGCATGGACATTAATAGTCAGCGCCTATCCCCGGCTTGGCACGCACGTATACTAAACTTCATATGTACGGAAAGAAACGTCACAGCAGAACCGTGCGGTTCAGAATCCAAATGCTAGAGTACCATCACCCGCTTTAGCTGCAACCGAGCGGGCTTGAACAGCTTTTCTACCAGGCAAACGTCTGTAGTGGAATTAGAAATAGTTCAAACATGAAGGCGTTCCTGCGCGTGGTCCATTGTTGACTAGGGTGTATAATGTACCGATGCAGCAGTGTAGTTGCTGCACCGGCTGAAGACCGTCGAGCTTCTACCTAAAACAGCGCCGCAATGCTGCTGCTTCTTTTCCTATTGCTGCTCCTGCTGAAGAGTTACAAGCAAGTACTTGCTGCTCTTCAAGTGTTTTTTAGGCGCTGGTGTTGCAACAGCAGGCCCCGCTGCTGCTTTTATTACAGTGGGCCCTGTCCACTGGTGCAACTTTTCGTGTGTTCCATCTTGGTGCAACGCAACAGAGGATACTGTGGGCTTTGGGGTTTCTCAGCGAAAAATCCCTCTAGCTTGTACATCCGGTTGGTTCAGCTTCAGAGCATGATGAGATACGTCTGGATGCTGCTCCGGCATAAATAACACCGAGATGTAACAGCTGCATGCAGCTACGTGTGCTACTCGTGCATGCACGTAATGAAATCATTTTTGCCTCTGTTTCCTCACGTTGATAGATTTCTGTTGCAGAAGCGCTGCAACTGCTGAACAATACCACAGTGTGTTACAGCGCATCACAGCTGCCAGCTCTTCGCACCAGCCCCAGGCTTGTGTGGACGCCTCAAGACAGGATATGGAAGGGTCAGCAGCGTTTTCAGGAACACCGGTCTATAAAAGTTCGACGTTATCCCAGCTCGCCACTGCAAGGGCCAAGCGATATTGACGTGTTCTACGAGCTGCGGCAGTTGTTTATTTATTTACATTAAGCAGTTTGGCCCCGTACAGATTTCTAGTTTTAAGACTATCAGGCTTTGTGTTTGCTGGCCTGGAGTCAACATTTTGAGCGCCTCGGTCTCGCCAGGGAGGCACTGAACAACAGCTAAATAACGCGGAAAGCTGCTCGCTCGCTGAAGCAAATAGAGCAAAACATTGAGATAAATATGTGTGTAAGCGTTTATTTTTCTTGGCTTTTAAATTAAATGAATGAGACATTCAAAGTCCGGCTTCTTTGTTACTTTGGTGATGGTATGCAACATTTGGCGGTCCACGTGCCACCGACCTTGTTGTCAAGCATGCGGCACCCGTGGTGCTGTATCTGCGCTTACGTTGCAGAGATAAAATAAGGGGAAATCAAGGAAAAAGGTTTCCGTTTATTTTGGAAACAAGAAATACAACTCCCTGTGTGTGCAAGACCGATCTTAAGCAGAGTTCCGAGGCACTGCGTCTCGCCATCCATCCGTCTTTCATTCGTTGCAGCAGAGTTGTACCTGTACGGCTGCCTTTTGTTTCTGATTCGACGTTATTTTGGCATCTTCCCGCTTTTCTGAATTCAGGAAACGAACTTAATTCACATGCTGCAAAATATAGCCGTTTATGAAAGAAACGACGGCTGCAGGATTCGAACCTGCGCGGGCAGAGCCCAGTGGATTTCGAGTCCACCTCCTTAACCACTCGGACAAACCGCCATGATGGCCGGCTCTTGTTGACTGCTCCAGTTGCGCAGCTGCAGCTTGCTGCCTCTAGAACAAGACAAACTGCAACAAATATTGAATTCGAGAGCTCCATTAACTCCCCGATGGCTGAACAAATCACACAACAGGCGAATGCAGTGACGCGCAGCCACCAGCCAGCTGCCCTCCAACGCGCAGATGCCTCAGACAAGACAAACAGCGGCTCTACAGCCTACGCTATATCCGCTAAGACTCGGGGCTCAGCAGCAGCAGCAGCAGCAGCAAGAGCAGCAGGACCAGCAACGGGAACTGGTGTTGCAGTGTCTCCAGCACCGAAGCAGCAGCAGCTGCTGCAGCACCAGTTGGTGCAGCAGCAGCTGCTGCTGCAGCACCAGCAGGTGCAGGTGCAGCAGCAGCTGCAGCAACAGCAAATGCAGCAGCAGCGGTTGCTCCCAGCCTCCCTCCCTCATACAGGGAAGTCTGCAGCTGTGCAGCTAACAATGCCGCCCTCTATCTTCTCTCATGCGCCTCAACAGGGTGTACCGGCGCATGTGCTACTGCCAACTGCTGCGCAAATGCAGCAGCAGCAGCAGCGGCAGCAGGGCAGGCCGCCACCTGTCGGTCCTCCTCTTGTTGCATCCAGTAGTGCTGCTGCTGCACAAGCGCTGATGTCTAAAACGAATCTCGGCATCTCGATGGCTTACAACAGCCGCACGGCTGCAGGCGGGGCTCAGAGATGGCAGCAGCAACAACGAGGGACCCCCCTGCAAGCCTATCTGGGCTTACAGCAAGCTATTCCTAGCGCTCTCCTTGCAGCTGCTGCGGCACCTGCTGCACCACCAGCAGGACCAGTAGCAGCGCCAGCAGCAGCGACGGCGCCAGCAGCAGCAGCAGCAGCAGCAACGGCGCCAGCAGCAACAGCAGCAGCAGCACCAAGGCCTGCAAAGTTGATTTCTCCCTCCAGACCCCTCGCCTTTCCTCTGCGGCAGCCAACCGCCCCGTCCCTGCTGAGTTCTTCATCAGGGCCTCCAGCAGCAGCACCAGCTGCTGCTGCTGCAGGTGCAAGAATCCAGATGGAGCAGCAGCAACGCTATCAGCAGCAGCAGCAGCACCGTCACCAACAGCACCAGCAGCAGCTCCAACAGAAGCAGCGCCAGCAGCAGCCCCCGCTGCAGCAGCAGCCCCCGCTGCAGCAACAACAGCAGCAGCCCAGACTGCAGCAGCAACACCAGCAACAGCAGCAGCAGCAGCGCCTGCCACAGCAGCCGCAGCATCCTTTGTTTCACAGAGGGCAGCAGGCGGAACCACGCCCGTTAGTATGCCAGAGGAGCGACAGCAGCTTGGCTTCCCTCAGCAGCTGCAGAGACACTCAATTCGTGGCCCCTCCCCTGTTTGCTGCTGCTGCTGCTCATGGAAGAGCAGCAGCAGCAGCAATTAGCAGCCAAGAGTTGCTGCCTTCGGAAGCAGAAATAGAGACAGCCCCTGCCTCTTGCTGCGGCATGACTCTGCAGCCTATGAGCATTTCACAGCTTTTCTATGGTGAGCTAAACCCTAAACGCTAAACCCTAAACCGTAAGCCCCTGAAGGGGAAGGGGGGGTATCGCTTAGACTCAACCTTTAGGGTTTAGGGTTTATTGCATTTGCTTTGTAGTGTCTGCTCTGCTTTATTTCTTTCTTCGTTGAATGATTGGTTATATATGTCTTCTCTAATTCGCTCTCTGCATGCGTCTTCCATGTTGCTTATTTATATACAATATCCTTTTGTTGCTTATGTTGTTTTGTGTGCTTCATTGTGTGTTTGTCTGTATGTTTGTTGTGTGTATATATCTGTTTTTAAAGTGTTTGTTTAGTCATGCGTATAGTAGTGGATTATATATATATATATATATATATATATTAAATATGTTTCTTATGTCGTAATTGGATGGAAACCCTTGCCATTAACCTGAAATAACCTCGTAAATGCACATATCCCCACGTGTTTAGGGTTTAGGGTTTAAACTTTAGGGTTTGTGTGTGCATATTGCTGCAGCGCCTCCGTCTCCGTCTTCTACGTCTCTGGCTTCGGGTTGTGCGAGTAATGCAATATCTCTCTTGCATGAAGCAGAGACACAAGCAGCAGCGCTTGTGCTTGCAGCAAGAGAAGCAGCAGTGGGGCTTCGCCAGAGAGCAGCAGCAGAAGCTGCAGAAGAAGGCAAACAACTGCAGCAGGAGATGAAGAATAAACTTGAAGCAATCGAACAGCAGGTGAGCAGCAGCAACACCAGACAAAGTAAAGAAATCAAATTATGTGCGCTTATGCAAGAAGAGTTATTCTATTATTTTATCTATATCTTCTTCGTATTAAATATACAGATATACAACCATATTTATTTATTTAAATATAACATTCAGCGGCTGCCATAACTGAAACCTCTAACGTGACAACCTCTAACGTGACACAGACGAAAGGCGTGGGTGGTATGCATGCATATAATATACATATATATATATATATGCATAGATATACATATATTTTATGTATATATGCCTATATGTGTATGTTTATTTATTTAGTCTTTGTATTATATATATATATATATATGCCTATATGCATTTGCCTATGTATGTGCGTGTGCGTGTGTGTCTTCACGTATATGAATATGTCTATATATTACATGTATGTATATAATTTACGGGACAGTACATTTATTATTAGATACATCCACTAGTTTCTTAAACTATATAATATATATATATATATATATATACACGAAGAAAGCTGCTGCATGCACGGGTGCTGCTGCTGCATTATTGAAGGTGTTGCTGCTGCTGCTGCGTGCAATGGTGAGGACGGGGAGACGATGGTTTTATTTGTTTTTATATGATTATTCTGTTGTTTCGTTTTGCTGCACAGAACAAAAAAGAAAAAGAAAATACCAAAAAGATACACGCGCAAGTAGAAGCACAGACAACGGCAATCATCGCGAAAGACAAAGCAAACAACCTCCTTAACACCGTCAACATGGTCGTAGGTACGTATATATCAAGCAGAAGCAGCAACAGCAGCAGCTGTTACTGCTGTTCCTCCTAGTGCTGCTGCTGCTGTTACTGCTTCTGCTGTTACTGCTGCTGCTATTGCTGATGCAGCTGCTACTGGTGTTGCTGCAGCTGCTGCTTCTGCTGTTGCTGCCCCTGGTGTACTTCGTTGCTGCTGAGTAGCTGGAGCAGCAGCTGCAGCAGCAGCAGCAACAGCAGCAGGATTATTACTTTATGAGTTATTGCGTGTTGTTGTTAATGCATTTCTGTTTGCATCTGCGTTGTTCATGAGCTTGCACCACATCTATACACCGCACTAACTGTAAAATATATATAATATATAGTATATATATGGATATATAAGGGTTTTGAGTTCAATGTACGTTGGAGTGTCTGTACGTACACCTCAGATCTGGTGCTGGCGGTTGACGTGGAGTGCCCTGTAGAGGCAATAAAATTGTTTTGTAGTCCTCGTTTGCTGCTTCATTTCTCCGATAAGGCATTAGTGCAGCAGGAGCACCACCACCCTAAAGGAGAGTTGCTGCTGCAACCGAAGAAATTCTCAACCTTTGATAATGGTAAAACGCATGCAGAGGAGTCTTTGGGGCTTGAAGACCTCCCTTCTCGTCGTATATCTTGTTATGATTCTTTCTGGCGTAAACATCAAAGTAAAGTATATAGTGCTGAGAGGCCAGCGCTGCTGGTGCCTCTACCCTCATTAAAAAATAATATTCTCGATCAAGATATCAATTTACGTCTGCCTAGTAGATGGGAAACACAAAAAGAAGACAGTTTTGAAGGCTTCAAACTACCAGCCTTCGCCGCCTCTTCCCCCAGCAGCATCACATCTAACGAAGATATTGAACCCACACCAACTCCTCCCCATGACCCACAAACGCAGCAACAGCAACAGCAACAACAGACGCAGCAGCAGCAACAGCAGCAGCAGCAGCTGGAACAGCAACAGCAGCAGCACTAACAACAGCTGCAGCAACAGCAGCAGCTGGAACAACAACAGCAGCAGCACTAACAACAGCTGCAGCAGCAGCAGCAGCAGTAACAGCAGCAGCAGCAGCAGCAGCAGCACTTCTGTCGAAGCAAGGAAACAGCCCGATTCTGCGGTCCCCAAGGGGAAAAAGCAAAACTTTTTATTTGGAGAAGAACCGCCAGCGGATGGAGTGACACTCAAAAATCAAAAATCGAAGATCAAATATGTATATATATGTATATGTGCATATAAATATACATATATATATATATATGCACTCTATATGCATATATATATATATATACACGCGTAGACGCACTCTACATATATATATATATATACTCTATATAGATTAACACCGCACTGCGTATTCCTTCTTCCCTTCAACTGCCACTTCGGGGGCAAGGCCGCCAGGGAATATATATATATATATATATATATATATATTCTATATATGCATATATATATAAATATCCCTGTACATGTATATTTATATAGGTATGCTTATGCATATATATGCATATATATATTTACTTGTTCATTTATTATTCTATATTTATGTATATTTTTACTTTGAGGTCGGCGCAGGCTGGCCTGCCCATGTCTGTTGATGCAATTTGTACAACTTTCTTTCTCTGTCTCTTTATCTATTATATATATATATATATATGTATTATATATACACATATACATATATAATATGCATAGTGTATATAATATACTGTATAATATATAAATAATACCGTATATGTAAATATATAATATATGCAGTATACAGGAAATTTGCAATACATTTCTAATTTGTACAGTATATATAATGTATATATTGTGTATATATATCATATATTTGCATATATATACAATATATATATTATATGTAAAAAGAATATGCACACTATATAAATTATGTATAGTACGTATATGACATATATATATATATCATATACAGACAATATATATTGTGTATACATATAAAATATGCATAATATATCTAATATGTAATGTATATATAATATGTTGGATATATTATCTGTACAGGACATATTCAATATATACTATACGTGTATATAATATGCATAGTATATATATATGTATATATATATATGTATAGTATATATAATACATTACATGCATAATATATTATGTATATATGCATATATATGTATATACATGCATATTATATATATATATATATATGCATATATAGATATATCTATAATATGCATATATATATATGCATATGTATATATAATATGCATATATATATATATATACATATATATATATATATGCATATATATATATTTATATATATATATGCATATATTTACATGCATATATATATATGTATATTTGGGTTAGGGATTTTGTCAGCTTTCGCATATATTTGAATATTTTAATTTTCTGAGGATTTTAATTCCTCTTTGCCTCGGGTCAGTTGGCCAGAGATGGTTTTTATTTGAAACGCTTCTTTCTCTTTCTTTGTAAGTTATCTTCTTTTATCCTGCAGGCTGTCTGTCTCTACACAAAGAGAATATCATTAAAACCCCCAAAGATAATATCATTAAAACCCTGAAAAGAATATCATTTAAACGGCTTTAGTAGCGGAGACAAACTTTCTGCACTTTGCATTTCCTAGGCACATCGGAGGAGAATATTATTTGCATATTAAATATGTACGCGCATTATATATATATATATATATATATATCGATATAGATTTATATATAGACATAGATATAGAATATATATTTAAGAATATATCTTTAAAAAGTATATTTTTGGAAGTTCAAGCGGAGAAAGATGCACCGGATGCACAGCAGTGTTGAGTTGATATATATCTTCATCTTGCTCGTTCACTAGCTGCAGTGTATGTACTGCAGCTCTCATGCATGCATGCATGCATGCATGAAGGTCTCTCTGTATTGGATTTGTTTGCATGCAAACCGTGCAAGTCTCTAACTGTCTATTATATGCGTGATGCATTTAGATGAAGAGGAAACGCGTGCATGCACTAAGCGCAACGCAGCTCCTCTTGACACCCCTCCCCCTCTCCTTGTGCTACTGCTGGTGGTGGTGGTGGTGCTGCTGCTGCTGCGGCTGCTGCTGCTTGTGCTGCTGCTGCTTGTGCTCCTGAAACTGCTGCTGCATTAACTCTAAATGGCTGGAAGGCTTCCTGCTGCTGCACTGCAGCAACACCTGCAGCAGCAGCAGCAGCAGCAGCAAGCGTAGCAGCAAGGGCCCGCTTGCCATCTTTGTGGTTCAAGCAAAAAATCATACGAATGCATAAAATAAAAAATGATCAACTTTAAGAAAATATAGTTCCGCTAAGAGACAGTCTTTGGGGTGTATATACATATATATTTGTATATATGTATATATGTATAAATGTGGTTTGTACAAACGCATAAATGTACTTGCATTATATATATGTGTGTATGTTGTACACGCAAATATATAAATGCATGTTTGTATACATTTATATCCAAACATAATCGCACGTATACAATATATGGATATATATATACATAAATTAATATATATTATATTTTATATATATACATATATACATTATATACGTACAAATGTTCTTATATATATATACTTTTATATATATACATATTTATATATACATATTAAATAAATGAAGACTCCTCAAATTACGCGTTAACAGGTTTTGTGCAAGAGGTCCTCCAAATGCCAGAACGCTAAGCCTAGTATCAATATAAATATATAAATATACACACACTATATATATATAAAGATATATATATATATATATATTTAGACAGATATAGACAGACAGACAGAGTCTTAGGGGAGAAACGGTATACGAAGACAGGGATGTGCGCATTAAGACACAAATGGAGAGTCATACATACATATATATAAATATATATATATATATGAAGAGAAGAGAATGCACAAAAATAAGTGGAACAGGTGAAGAAGAGAGGAAGTGTGAATAGAAGACAAAGCAAGAAGATGCATGCATGTAAAGAATAGAGTTTAAAGACTTTTAAGTTTTTCTGCAGTTCTTTTATGCGTAACAGCAATAGAAATAGCACAAGCAAGAGAAGAAAGAACAAAGACTCGATCGAAATGAAGATGAAAAGCATGAAAATCAAGAGAAGGTGCAAGCACTTGTGCAAGTGCTGCTCTATATGCTTGAGGTAAATACATACGGGTTAGAAGAAGACAAGCAGAGAAATAAACTCCCATAACTTCAGACATAATAAGTGCGAATACATCGCTAGAAACAGCTGTAGACATATAACGAAAGACAGCAAGAAGTTTTTCTAGGAAACCCCTTATAGTAAGAGCTACGATCCACCCTAAGAGAAATAAAGACAAATATGGTGTAAGTAATTTAATATCAAGAGGAATATGAAGAAGATGAAGAAGAACTTCAAGCGTTCTTGTTGCTGGATCTGTTGTATTAACACGATCTAGAAGAATATTTACTGCACTCATTATAACTCTATACACACAAACAAAAGTCATAAACCACCCAACTAAGTTATTAAGACGCCCTAGAAGGGTCTGACCGTACACTGCTTGAGCTCGTGAATGTACTAAATCATCTAAACCAACAAATAGCTCTCTTGATAACTCTTCTAAGGCTTCTATTTCATTCTGAAGCTGCTGGCATTGCTGCTCTAGACGGCAGCCTGATATATACCCTCGCACCCGAGCAAACATATCTGCAAAATAATTCCATATAAAACGCACACTTAAACCCCTCATTCTCTCCCCTCCTTGCTGCTGCTGCTGCGATGACGATGAATCCAGCACACTCCCACCATTGCTGCTGCTGCTGCTGCTGCTGCTGCTGCTGTTGGATGGGGTGGTTAGCGAGGCTTCGTCCGCAGCTGTTGTTGCAGCACCAGGAGAAGCAGCATCACGAAATGCTTGTCTTTTTTTTGAATTACTTCTAGCTGAACGGGCAGAAGCAGCAGAATTATTCTTTACTCTTGTAGAAGAAGAAAGTATGCCAGATGTTGGTGTAGGCCAGAGATATGCTCTTGCAGGTGTTAAAGACGCTTGAATGAAAAGCCTCGCTTTTTTCTTTTCACTGACAAGGTTAAGAGTATGCAGCAATCTTTGTTCAACGCATGCAACCTCTGCTTGCGTTGTTGGGTATAGAAATGCTGCAATATTTCTATAAGGATAATTAACACTGCCAAAGCCAGCCAGTGCAGAAACAACAGTTACACCGCAAACCCCTACATAAGCAAGCAATCGCTCTGTATAGGAAAGACAATCAAGAGCTTCAGGATCTAAATGCAGCAAACGCCCAGACTGTTGAAAGCAAAACCAGAGTATAGGAAGTGCAATAACACTGCATGCAGCAACAGACACCCACTCTCTCCATCGAGGAGGAAGCTGCTGCAGTAATGATATAAACCCTTGACCTTCTCTTCCTGAAGGAGTAAGATTAGAAACAGAAGCAAGACGAGATAGAGCTGCTGCTTTTGTATGCAAACGACGCATATCTGGGAGCTTGTCTATCCAGCTTGTGACTCTAAAAGAATCTGCACTGGGGGCTACAATGTTGTGGATGATAGAGACAGGCAAAATAACGTATAGAAGCAGCAGCACACATATTAAATCTAAATTCCATATAAAGCGTCGAACATGAGGGTTTAATATATGCAACAACTCTAGCAGCAAAAGCTGCAGCATAGATACGCATGAAGTAAAGGTAGCACAGAATAAGTGCTGTACAGACGGCCTCTGCACTTCATAATCGCGGTATAAATGCGTTGCAAAGAAGTAATAAGCCCCTACAAATAAACTGCAATGAAATAATAAAACTATCAAGACACCCAAGAATATTCCTAAGGTTGTCTGGCTAAAAGGAGAGGCCGCAGCAGATAAAGGAGGGAGATTCATTTCATGTCGTTATTCTTCTTTATCTCTCTATTCTTCTCTCTTTTCCTTCTCTTCTAGAAATATCTCTCTTTAATCAATATAATTAAAAGCGCTTT